ATTAGGGGTTGCCACTTGTCTATCTGCTTAAGGGACGAAAGAGGAGCAGAGACCGTATCTTGTGCTGGATATGTGTAGCTAAATATTACAGGCTATTTATGCCCCTCTTGAAGGGACACTCCTCTCTTCTTTCCCCACAGCCCCTCGCTCCTATACTTGTCCCATAAATGTCAATGCTTTGTAAGAGGTTGGAACGGTAAGCCTGTTTCGAAGGGCAATTTAGAGAGATTAGGTAATTCAGGGGCCTAAGATGCTTGGGTTCATGAAATAGAGGAACTTTTCTCGCAACATCTGCCTTAGCCCATGCCAGCTTCTCATTTCCAGCACACAGGATCCAAAAAGTAGCCAAACTCCTTTCCGTGTTCCAGCATGCAGCGATGAAAGCTGATCGAGGTCTTGCCCAGTACACTATCATCCGAAGTGAGGGAGCAGACGATAAAATGACATGCGATTACATCAAGGACTATTTTGAGGAGCAGGAGGAGACTGAACAAGAGGTTTATTCAATTTACTACAAAAGAACATTTACCAAAGAAAATTACGTTGACGGGAGCATCGGATTCCCTCCTGTGTCATGACGGCTACTCGTCGCTACCAATGAATATTTGGTTGATCAGCAGCCCCTAGATGACTTTTCATTCGGTCCCGTAAAAAGAAAAACAATTCGGAGACGTCAAACCAGGTAGCATCTGAACCGGCATTTAAAGTCAACAGCTGAGCTTACATGATCAACAAATTCTTGAAGACAACTCAAATTCTCGGCTTACCATCTAAGACGGTAAATTCTTTCATTACAGTTATCCGCACGAGTGAATATTCTCTGTCACGCACAAGCTGGTGGCGCTCCATCGGCTTTCGATCGTCAAATGGGACTTCGTATGGCAATATACGCTTTTCAAGGCTTAAGAGACCCGAAAAGAATGGGAGATCACGATTGTTGTGTATTGGGTATGTGCTATGAGCTGAATTCCATCCTGATAATACCCAAATTCAATTGTGTGGGTGTCGAGGGAAGAATGGTTCTGGAGCGAATCCGTGGTACCCAGTTAAAAAGACCGTCATTGGCAGAGCTCTTTTAGCCAAGGATCCGTTCCAGAGCACTATTTCCCCTCCGTTGCCTCCGCTATCGGATTTGCATCTTGGAGGTATTTTCGGAGATATTTATTGTTATACCATAATCAGGTCTTGTTGGACGAGAGCTGAAATTCACGTCTATACTTCAATTAGCTAAAGAAACATGCTTCGTCCATAACCTCCCTCTCTGTCAGTGGTGGATGTGCCTTATGCCTCTCATAAGCGAGCTATCAGGTCTTATTATCTTATTTATTAGAAAGCTTCCGTTTTTATCACAAATTGTTTTCCTTTCAGATATCGGAGAGTCTATTTTTACTTGAAGTGATGGAGAACGATTACAGAAAAAAGAAACGAACAGAAAATACAACGCTAACAAATTAGTAGCTGAATTACCTTCAGATTTGTGTGGCGTGTTGAAGGCAGCTTATATTAAAGTTTTTTGGTTGAAATT